GTCTGGGTCTCTGTGTCTCTTCTATCTGTCCTTAATTGTGTGCTCTGTCCCAACACTTAGGCCCAGTTCAATTGCCCCCAAACCAATGCAGGCTGCTGGCACACGGTGCATGTTCAGATTTATGGTGGGCCCCCCTCCTTTTTCTCTTTATTGCCTTGTTGCACTAGCTACATCTGGGACAATGTTGACTAGAAAAGGGGAGTAGCCATCTTTGCCTTCTTCCTAGTTTTAGAAGGAAACTGCTTTTTATTTCACCATTAAATATGTCAGGTGCTGGTTCTTCCATAGACGTCCTTTATTAGATTGAGGATGATACCTTTATTTCTTTACCAATTGAGAGTTTTAAATCATGAATGTTTTTTAAAATATTTTTTTGCATTTAAATAAGACAGGGTTTTTCTTTTTTAGTATGTCAGTATGATGATATACCTTGGTTCTGAATGCTATGGCAAACATGCATTCCTAGGATAAATTCTGTGAGGTATTACCATCTTTTATAGATAGTAGTTTCAATTTGCTATTTTTTAAAAGAATTTTTGCATCTGTATTCATGAGAGATGTTGATGTATGATTTTCTTTTCTTGTGAGGTCTTTTTCTGGCTTTGGTATGTGGGTAATGTTGGCTCATAAATGAGTTGTTAAGTGTTTCTTCCTAGAAGAGTTTGTGTAGAATTGTTGCTATGTCTCCCTTAAATATTCGTTTGTGCCATCTGGGTATGCACTTTTTTTTGTGGGGGAAGGTTGTCAGCTACAAATTCAACTTTTAGGGCTACTCACATTTCTTTTCTTTTTGAGTGAGCTTTGGTAGTTTTTGTTTGTCAAGAAGTTTTTGTATTTCACCTATATTGTTGAATTTATTGGCATAAAGTTAATAAAATTCCATACTGCTTTAGCTAGATCCAAATATTTCAATATATTCTTTCAGTTCAAAATATTTTCAAATTTTCCTTTTTACCTCCTCTTCATGGGTCATTTAGGAGGGTGATTTAATTTCCGAATATCTGGAGATTCTTCAGATATCTGTCAGTGATTTCTAATTTAATTCTTTTCTGGTCATACCATTGTATAGTTTCCATTCTTTAAATCTTTTAAGTCATTTGAAACTTGTTTTGTAGCTCATAATATTTGCACCTGAGAAGAATACATATTATGCTGTTGTTGGGTGGTGTTCTATATATGTCATTTAATCAAGTTAGTTGGTTTTATATACCTTTAACTGATTTTCTATTTGTGATATCACTTAAGTGTTGAAATACTTGAAATAACCTTAGTACTTGAAAATTTGTCTAAATCTATTTCAATTTTACCATTTTTTTAAAAAGTAGGTTCTGAGCCCAACACGGGGCTCAAACTCACAACTCTGAGAACAAGAGTTGCATACTCCACCAGCTGAGTCATCCATGTGTCCTTCAACTTTATCATTTTTTATTTTATTTTTGAGAGAGAGAGAGACAGAGCATGAATGGGGTAGGGGCAGACAGAGAGGGAGTCACAGAATCCAAAACAGGCTCCAGGCTCTGAGCTGGCAGCATAGAGCCCAACGCAGGGCTTGAACTCATGAGCCATGAGATCATGACCTGAACCAAAGTCAGACACTCAACCAACTGAGCCACCCAGGTACCCCAATTTTATTGGTTTTTATTTTGTGCATTTTGAAGCTATGTATTGGAGCTAGGCGACGTTTTTCTGTTGGATTCTCAAATGTCAGAATATAGGTCTCTCCCTCGGGGCCAACTTCTGTAGAAAAGAACTTTCCACCTTTTGCTGGAGGGTAAATCTCTGGTTGGGAAGGGCACAAAGATTCGGGATGAGGGCATGGGTGTATGGGGTTAAGTGAATGTTCCGTATACACGTGGCCATTGATTTCAGTGCTTTCCCTTCATGTCTCACTCCCCTCTTCCACAGTATTAAGCATTTCTAGACTGGAACCAAACTGGTTCCTTCTTGTCCTTATCTTCATATGCAAGCAGTTTAAATGGTGCCTGCTTCTGCTCTGATGCAATAGTCATTGCCCTTCCATCTTTCAAATTTTTGTTGAGATTTGTTTGTTATGGTCTTACTCCTCTTCTCTTTATTGCTGTGGTTTTATAAATGTAAAAAAAAAAATTTTTTTTTTTAGCACTTTAATGCTGTCCAGAGAGATGTTTAACAAAAAGTACACTTTCTAGTCCTTTCTCTGCTAGCCATTTTGCTTGGGTTGGCCAAACACTGACATTTTTGTGGTCAAAATGTCCACATCCTTGCTGATCAGCTGCCACATGTTCCTATGTATTAGCTTTTCCCAGATCTTACTCTTGAACTACTGTTATTACCTGCTCTCAGGTACCAATTCAGTGCCAGTTTTACTCTTGCAACTACTTTGGGCATGTTGCTTTGAACTTTGCTTAGCTTTCATTACCTAGGGTATAGTCTTGCACTCCATGACCAATTATGATGCTTTCTCATCAATTAAAGTACAGAGAGAAAGCCATGGGAGCTTCCATATTTCTTTCTATCCCTTAACTCTGGCTGTCAGGGTGGGGGGTGGGAAGGAAGAATGAAAATATTAGAAGTGCCTGACTGGTCCAGTTGGTAGAGCATGCAACTCTTGATCTTGGGGTTTTGAATTTGAGCCCCATGTTTGGTGCAGATTAAAAATAAAATCCTAAAAAAAGTTAAAATGATTATAATTTGTGAATGTGACTACCAGTAATGAACACATATTCACTAGTATTTTGACTTTAAGATGTTAGAAGGAATAGCACCCAATGAATTGGTAAGAATTTTAATAATTGTAAAAGTGTCTCAAGTACTCAACAATCTGTAATCTATATAGTGAAAGAATTATTAATTGAATATAACTGATGATTACTGAGAATATCCAAAGGTCTTTGTTTAACTCAAGTATCAAGGCAAGGGCAACTCCTGAACTCTGAAAAAAAATTTTTTTCAACAATCCTAAAGCACACATACGTTTTTTTATATGAAATTGGGATGTATCTTAGCAAAGTGCTCCCCCCCCCAATCGTTTCTTACGATCTGATGAAATGTGACATATCCCCTGTTGTTCCTCCTGTATTTTCATGTGTAAGTCCTCTTTTTCACACACTTCTTTCCCATAGTCAGTGAAATACTTCCCAAGGACTCTGATATTTCAGTTGTATTAAGAAAGGTGATGTTTAAAAGAAAATAGTAAAAGCTAAACATAGTTAAAAACATTGATATCATAAGTTATGTTTAAAAGGAAATTTGGGAAAACAGGCTATTTTATAATCATTTGAGATTTGGACTTCAGACCTCCTCCTATCCTCAAAGCATACAGGTTCTTGTGTTCATATTTGGCTCCAAATCTCAGTTATATTCCATACATCAGGTAGTCAGAAGACATATGTGACAAACAGTGAAATCCTGAACAGATACTGAGGTATGATCTATGAGGGTAGAAGGAATGAGAGGCATTCATTATTCTAGAGATTGGTGAAATAGAATCACATCATTTGTGATGCTGCCTTAGAGTATCCAAACAGGTGAGATATTATGGAATGGCTAAAGGGAAGATGGTTATATATCACCCTAATCATTGCATATAGAATGCTTACTCAGGGGTGGGGTCAAAGATTCTGGAACTCTCTTCTAAAGAAAGGCAAATGTCTTAATTTCTCTCCTTTATTCCTTAATAGAGATGAGCTGTTTCCTGAAAATTAATGTATACTTTCCCTGTTATCTATGTCCAGTTAACTACTTCAGCTTACCTTGGTCAGGATATATTAGTTACATCCCAAGTTCTCAAGCTAATGAATAAGGCATCCATCTTTTTCCTACCATTTTTCATGTATGGATACTAGTAATTGGTGAAAAACTGGGATATTAAACACTAGATAACCTCCTGAGAACTGGCTGAAGAATCATTAACCATCAGTTAGAAAATGAGGGCTGCAGTCAGGAGCTCATTATATAGTAAATTCCAATTTAGTTATGTATGCAATCACTTTTCTACTTTCAACTGTTGTTTGAGCTTCTTGTATGAACTTCTAGGGGATAAATGCCTCTTTGAAGTGTCCTAGTTTCACACTGCAAGTGAATTGTATGTGACACAATGCATATTTTAACCCTGGTCATCCCAAACATACTCTAAAATAGTTTAAAATGTTTTTATATAGCTATTTTTTTTAACATCTATTTATTTTTGAGAAAGAGAGACAGAGTATGAGCAGGGGAGGGGCAGAGAGAGACAGGCTCCAGGCTCGAAGCTGTCAGCACAGAGCATGATGCAGGGCTCAAACTAATGAAATGTGAGATCACGACCTGAACAGAGTCAGAGGCTTAACCAACTGAGCCACCCAGGTGGCTATTTTTATGTGAAGTACTTTCAGCCAAATATAAAAATAATTTTATAAATCAGACTTCTAGATCTATAGTGAGGTTTAAAGAGGCTGGGGATTCTGTGAAAACAAATGGCTTTCGGGGGTACATCAAGTATTAAACAAAAGATAAGCCCAAAGAGAAAAATACTAGAAACTTTCTCTCTGGACTCCCTTGTTTTGCTTAGCACTGACATGAATGCCAAAGAAAATCAAGGAAATGAGGTAGTGAGGAATTACATACGTTTAGATATATACATTTCATTTTTGCTATGTTTCAACATGGTATATGTACCCTACTTGGCTTTAGTTTGGTGGTGATGGGGGGGTGAAGTGGTGAGATCTGGATGAACCCCAATAGACCAACCGCACCCAGGAAAAATAACTACTTCTGTTCCTAAGCAGCTGCCTTAAGGGGAGAAGGCGGATGTGTTCAATATCCTGTAACATAGTATATGGGGTGTACCACACAAGTAGCTTCTCTCTACTTACTTGTCATGTGGCCATGCATTGTTGGTATATTTTTGCCATAAACACAAGAGATTTCATGCCCATAATATCTCCAACCACTCCCTTGACCTAAAACTAACACGTGCAATCACAATTCAGAGAGAGCTAATCAAAGTTGGAAGGAAATAGGAAAAACACAAGGCACAGGATTTGAAGAGAAACCAGAGTTTCAATTTCTCAGAGAATGTGAACAAAGGGAAACATGTTCTGTTTGCACAAATATAAAGTTCTTGCACTTAAAAAGGCTGGGTAGGATATATAGTTCTAATAACACTGGCTGAACTGCAAAGTATAGACATTTCACTCTACCCATCTGAGGAAACAGAAGAGTCAGTTCTCTATATAGCATGACAAAGTGGTTGGTACTTAAATACTTTAAATAATGAATGAATTTCAGTGAGGGAACATATCTGAATAACCTATGATCTCTCTCCTGAGAATAAAGAGTGATATTAAAAATACTCAAGTCTTTACAGTATGAGCATATGACTGAAGACCTTATTTAATAGGATCTTTCCTATGAACCCGCTGGTGGATGTGGAGGTTGGAGCTCTGGCTGAAGCCCTTCCCACACTTGCTGCACTCATAGGGCTTCTCTCCAGTATGCACTCTCTGGTGGATGAGGAGTTTTGAGCTCTGGCTAAATCCCTTCCCACACTTGCCACAGTGATAGGGCTTCTCTCCAGTGTGTACTCGGAGATGGATGCGAAGATCAGAGCTCTGACTAAAGCCCTTCCCACATTCATAGCACTGGAAGGGCTTCTCACCTGTGTGTATGCACCGGTGAATGTGAAGGTTTGAACTCTGACTGAAGCCCTTCCCACATTCCCCACATTTGTAGGGCCTCTCCCCAGTGTGGACTCGCTGGTGGATGTGCAGGTTGGAGCGCTGACTGAAGCTCATACCACATTCCCCACACTCATAGGGCTTCTCGCCAGTGTGCACTCGTTGGTGGATATGCAGTTTGGAGCTCTGACTAAAGCCCTTCCCACACTTGTCACATTTATAAGGCTTTTCGCCTGTATGGACTGCGTGATGAATGAGCAGACTTGAACTCCTTGTGAAGCCTTTCCCACACTTGTCACATTTATAGGGTTTCTCATCTGTGTGGACTGCTCGATGGATGAGGAGACTGGAGCTCCTCGTGAAGCCCTTCCCACACTGCTCACATTTGTAGGGCTTTTCTTCTGTGTGGTGTCTTTGATGAAGTAGTAGTTCTGAGCGCTCACTGAAGTCCTTACCACACCGACTACATCTGTGTAGTTTCTCTGCAGTGTGGATTTTCTCACATGGATTACTGCCTGAGCTGCTGTTACGTCTTTTCCTGCAGTTATAATGGTTACAGTGTTTCTCCTCTGTTTGAGGTCTCCGACGACTACGACTGACTACCTGTGATTTCCAACCACAGATGTCTTTGCAGTTACAGTCAAAGTGATCCAAAGATTCTTTCAACTGGCCATTCTGGCAAGTTGCCTGACCACTGACCAATGGTGAGACCAGTCCTGTTACATCAGATGTAAGTTTAATTTGAAGGTTCTCTGAACAATGGTCCATGGGAGGACTTTCTCCTTCTGAGACTTTTCTCTCAGTGCCTTCTTCAGTTATAAACACACTTTTGCTTTTCTGAGGATCCTGGGGCTCATTTTTACAGAAAGTCACTGAGGAGTCCTTTGCGGCCATTTGGCTTGGGAGTTTCAAAGACAAATATTCTTCATTGGCCATGTTTTTGTAATCATCACTTTGAAGAGTCACCACACTGCTCGTTTCTAGAAATACAGAAGATGCTTCTCCCTACTTCTGATAAAGGGAAAAATCTAGTTCAGGGTCCTGTACACTTCTCCCGGAAGATTCAGAATACGATCCTGACTCTGTTATTGTGCTGACCATATCTTCTAAAATTAGCCAGCAGAAAAGCCCCTATATAATAGATCCTAAGTCCTTTTTTCTTGAAGATTCTCCATAGAATTTTCATTCAAGTCTCCTAGGGAACAAAGAGAATTCAGTGATAAGGACATACAAAGAGTAGATTTCAAGATTTTGGAGCTGGAATGCCTAATGCTTGAAGATTTAGTAACTAGGAAAAAGTTCAGTCTTGTCCTTATAGTCATGTCCTTTGGGTTAGTATCAGAAGGAGAGAAGGCTTAACTACACAAGGCAGAAATCTTGTCTCAGCTTTTAAACATAGCCAATAAAAGTGTTTTTTCCCTAACCTTGCAGAGGCAATGAATGTGTACTTGTCACAAATAACATTTCATTTCACTCTACTTCATTTTACTTTAATTAAATGTGCATTTAATTGGTAACCCACTTTAAGAGGTGCTGGGGATACAAAGAAGAAAACAGATATTCTTCTGCCTAGAGGAGCCTACTGGGAAGGGGCTCTTCCCTTCTGGTTAGGCTAGAGAATACTGGGAAGAAAGACAGTATCAACAGTGATAACCATAAGTGTGACACCAGTCACATGCACAACCAGTCATGGGAGCACAGAGTACAGGAATTCAACCCAAACCTTGGGGAAGATTTCTGGGACCAAATGGAAGGGCGGGGGGGAGTGAAAATGCGGAGGAAATACGACATGCTCTGGAAAACTATACACAATTCCTTGTGAAGGATATAAAACAGATGACAGTGGTAAAAAGTGCTCTGGAGAGGAAGGCAGGAGCCAGAACAAAGGGCTTGGTGTGTACTATAAGAATTTAGGATTACAACCCTCAGGGATTTAAAGGACTTCAGTGGGGAGCAAAATACCGGACTTCGCGATTATAAACACCATCAGAAATAAGCAAGACTTAAGGTAGAGAAACAATTGCTGCAGCAAATCTGAAGCAAAGGATAAGGACGGTTATCAAGACAAAGGGAGAGATTCATTCTAAATCACACGATGACTGACTAAACTTAGGAGGAGAAGGAGGCATCCAGCATGATCCTTAAGATTCTTACTTGAGTTGATCAGATATGGAGGTATACATGGTAAGACAGGCTAGAATGATAAAGTGGGGAACCAATAACAAAACAGGCTTTGACTTGTTTAATTTGTGGTACTGATGGAACATTCTTGCACTGTTCAGTAATATGGGTCTGCAATTCCTGAGAGAGAACTATGCTAGGAATGTAGATTTTAGACTTACTAGTATGTATGTTCATCAAAAACAATTAGAGTGAATATTTTAATATTACACTGAGGTGACAAAAAAGAAGTCCACAATAGTCCTGGAAAAATAGAAAGGCTGCAATCAGCAGAATAAAAATGTTGAGGAACTCCTAGATGATAAAAAGCAGATGAATGGGAACTGATGGTGAATCCAGAAAAAACAACAACAACAAAACAAAACTCAAATGCACAGCTCAAATCACATACAGAAAAGGGCTTAAAAGACTAAAAGATCTCAGGGGCACCTGGGTGGCTCAGTCAGTTGGGTGTCCGACTTCAGCTCAGGTCATGATCTCACAGTTCGTGGATTCGAGCCCTTCATCAGGCTCTGTGCTGAATGCTTGCTCAGAGCCTGGAGGCTGGTTAGTATTCTGAGTCTCCTTCTCTCTCTGCCCCTCCCCCTGCTCACGCTCTGTCTCACCCTGTCTCTCAAAAAAAAAAGAAATAAATGTTAAAAAAAAAAATTAAAATAAAAGACTAAAAGATCTCAAAAAGTCCTAGAAATTCAAATTCCAAACTCAGAATAAACAATTATAAAGTAAGAGAGGTTTATCCTGGAAACAGGTTTATGAATTCATGTTAGGCATGTCTAACGGTTGGACTAGTTGTTGCCATTAGCAGCACCATTTTCCCAGACACCCTCTTCCCTACAAAAAATGAAATATTGGTTGGCTAAGGGTGGGTCCCCATAGAAAGCCTCAAGAACAAAATAAATGGTCTGTCAAAGAAAAACTCCTAATGGTATTATTTGGGCTGGAGAGAGAACCAGAAGTTGAGGAAATACTGAACCTGCACAATGACATGGTTAATAAAGTACAAACGAAGCAACTGACTCCACATGTGCCCAGGATAAAGATTCAAGGTTGGGGCGCCTGGGTGGCTTAGTCGGTTAAGCGTCCGACTTTCGCTTAGGTCATGATCTTGTGGTTCATGGGTTCGAGCCCCGTGTCGGGCTCTGTGTTGACTGCCAGCTCGGAGCCTGGAGCCTGTTTCAGTCTGTGACTCCCTCTCTCTCTGACCCTCCCCTGCTCGCACTGTCTCTCTCTCTCCTAGAAATAAATAAAATATTTTAGAAAAAAAAATTTTGGAAATAGAGGCTCACTGTATTTTGTATGAAGTTAAAATTTAGGCTTAGAGAAAAGATGCTGCAGTGGCTTAGTCTTTTATTCTGGAGCTCAGAACTACTGAGAGCAAGATGTAACAGTATAAGCAAAGTAGCAGTCCCAGGTTTGGATTATAATCAAACCTCTGATTTTTTCCAATTCTTTATGAATNAGTCTGTGACTCCCTCTCTCTCTGACCCTCCCCTGCTCACGCTGTCTCTCTCTCTCCTAGAAATAAATAAAACATTAAAAAAAAAAAAAAAGATTCAAGGTAACCCCTGAAGTGGGATTTCTGCTAAAAGAGATAACTTGAAAAGCAGGGCACGTCCCAGTTAATTTTGGGCTGAAAAAAGCAACCTTAAAAAAGGGGTCTACAACCACCCACCATTTGGATTCTTATATCTATCTCAAACCTAATCACCAGAGATGTCCTCTATAAGTATAGCATGCATGCACCAAAGAGGGCCATACATCAGCTGAGGATACACATTCCAGTATCATACTGTGAACATATGCCTTTTGAAAAAAATATCAGACAATAAAAACAATATAAGCAGACTAAAAAAAAAAGTAGAAAACTAACATAAATGAAGATTGGCGTAAACTCAAGAAATAATGAACAGAGGAAACGATTTAAAAGGTACATAATTAAGATCCCAGAGAAATCTGAGAAGATATCACATATAGAAAACATAATCTAATAATAAAATATAAACACATTGCTATGAAAAATAATCAGAATTCTTTTAAATTTATAAAAGGACTGAAAAGGATGACAATTGTAGTATTTATGACCTATCATGCTTATTTGAAGTACTCAGATACTAGTTGCACAATCTTATGTAAGAGGAATTCTTAGGACATCCATTCTATACATGAGGAAATCCAAGACTGAAAAGGTTAAGTAATGTGTGTCATAGCTACTGTTAAGCAGATCCTAAGGTCTACAATCTCAATGGGTCGAGTAGCAAAATGAACACATGGCTAAGATGGAAGATTGAGGGATTCTTCTAGAATGCAGAGTAAAAAGGAAAGACAGATGGAAAGATAAAAGTAAAAGCCCATCTTGTAGGAGTTCCATGAATATAGTGAAGAATGAATGGAGGGAGAGAAATGATCAAAGCAGTAACAGATAAAAATGTTTCCTAAAATTCACAATTCAGTGCTTACTGAATGCTAAAAATTGTATGCGAAATTTCAGGACTTCAGGGGAAAAAAAATTCCCCAAAACACTAAAAACATCCAGACAGAAAAGGCAGGTTGTGTGCAAATAAATGAGAATTAGTATGCTAACACCGAACTACCAATAAACAATACTGGAAACCTGGAATAATTGAGCATTATCTTCCATTTGGAGGAAAAGTGATTGTGAAAAAGATGATACACGATACAAGAAACAGCAGTGAGCAAAGAAGTCAATAAAATAGACAATTAAGTTGAATCAATTGTTGTTACATAAAAGAAAACTATAATAATTAACCAATTAACCAAACCACTATAAAACAGCATGGAAAATCACCCCAAATAAAATATTTTAAAAAGCAAGCATCAGCTTTAGGAAAGTGGGGGGAAAAAAGGAAGTGTAATCATAGTATACTACTTGACCTTGTAGGGAACAATAGTTATGAAGTCAAAGCAATATAAGCATTAACCTTGGGTGGATGTTGGGGGAAAATAATGTAAAAGAGTTAAATCCTCATTTATGATTTAAAGAAGTCAATATAAAATATAAAATATTGACAAACTGAAAAATAGCAGTATATTACAATAAACTCACATTAAAACTATATGAGATACCATTTTCCACCTGTTAAACTGGCAAAAACTGAAAGCCTGAAGACACACTGCTTGTGAGTGTAAATTTGTAACACCCCAAGAAGGACATTTTGACAATTATTAAAATCACACATGTATGCACTCCACATTTTGGCTTGGGGGTTTCATTCTTCAGATTTCCAGGTAGAGTTGTGAAATGATAACTGTATGAGATTTAGTCACTGCAGGTGGCTTGTGATAGTAAATGACTAGAACCTGGGTAGAGGAGTTAGGGACACGAAGGAAGGTTTACACTGTGTACCTTTTTATTTTCGTAATATAGCTTTAATACTTTAAAAACGTTTTGTACATTTGGGAACTCTTCACTGCTCATGCATAATATATTTTTTGCCTTTCCCCAGGATGTTCAATGTCCTCACTTGACATTTTTTTCAGCTTTTTTTAGGTATAACAGACAAGTAATACTGCGTACCTTTTTATGTTTTTTAACCATATGAATGTATTTGTTCCTTAAAAAAAAAAAAAGAAGTAGCTGCATAAGTTACTTGAAATATGAAGGCAAACAGAGTAAGAACAACTTAAAGGATTAAAACTGAGGGACTATGAGAAGCCATCCTGTGGCATGAGGAGCAGCAGAGGATGAAGCCTGGTGTTTATAAGTTTTTCAATACATTTCGCTTTACCTAGGTGAATGTATTCCTTTGTTCACAAAGTTTAAAAGTAATGGACAAAAAAAAAGGAAGAAAAATAGTGCAGTTTGGAACAATTAAGTCATGAGGTGGGCCAAAGTTATTAAATGGTCACAGGACACTGCTTCAACATCCTTGCCATACAATACTTGTGATACTAGTTTTTGTAACACACAACACACAGATATATGGAGTACATTTAAAAGAAAGGATACACAAACTACTATTAGTGATATCATTTCATATTATACTTCTGTGTTCTCTGACTTTTCGAGATTTTTAAATTTTTATTTTTATTATTATTTTTTAACATTTATTTATTTTTGAGAGAGAGAGAGAGGAGAGAGAGAGAGAAACAGAGAGCAAGCCAGGAAAAGGCAGAGAGAGAGGGAGACACAGAATTCGAAGCAGACTCCAGGCTCTGAACTGTCAGCACAGAGCCTGATATGGGGCTCGAACCCATGTACCATAAGACCATGACCTGGGCCAAAGTTGGTTGCTTAACTGAGCCACCCAGGCACCCCGTCCCCCCTTTTAAAAAATATTTTTGAAAGACAGAAACAGCAAGCAAGGAAAGGGCAGAGAGAGAGGGACTTCAAGACTTTTTTTTAGGTGGTATCCAGGTGTGGCCTGAATCTGGACCCTGAGATCAAAACCTGAGCCGAGATTAATCTGGCCATATGTAGCAACCTAGATGGACCTTGAAGGTGTTATGCTGAACGAAATAAGTCAGGAAGAGAAGGACAAATATCATATGTTTGCACGTATAGGAGGATTAGGAGGAACTTAACGGAGGACCAAGGGGGAGAAGAAGGGGGGAAATAGTGGGGGAGAGGGAGAGAGGCAAACCATGAGAGACTCTTGAATGATGAAAACAAACTGAGGACTGATGGGTGTGGGGGGGGGTAGATGGGCATGGAGGAGGGCACTTGTGGGGATGAGTACTGGGTGCTATATGGAAACCAACTTGACAATAAACTATTTGTAAATAAATACATAAATAAATAAATAAAACTGGATGTAATTTGGCAGGTAAAAAAAAAGAGTTGGACACTTAACTGACTGAGCCACCCAGGTGCCCCAATTTTTGGCATTTTTATATCTAATTTGCATTAAAAAACGCTGGACAACCACATTCAATGTCTTACCAATGAAAAACAAAAACCTAGCATAGAGCTTGAAACTGGAAGCAAAGAGAACAGGCATTAAGTTTATATAAAGAAAATGGAAGTACAGTCCTCTCACTCCTTACAGGGACTTCTTCACTCTGTGGTGCTTACCTCACCTCCCAGGTTTAGTTGAAAATAATGGTTCAAGAGCCATAGTTACTGAGGGAAGAGAACCATGTGGACAGAGGCAGGAAAAAACCCTGATAGCCACTATTATAGGTTACTTCTTTTTGGTGGTTTTTGTACAATGTCTGCTTTTACTAGAGAATGACAATTTCACAGGGTTTAACCTAGTAGGTATATATGTATCTTACATCTGTGAAAAAGTTTTTTGGGGGGGCACCTTGGTGGCTCAGTCGGTTAAGCATCACTTCTTGTTTTTGGCTCAGGTCATGATCTAGTGGTTCAAGAGACTGAAGCCTGTGTTGGGCTCCACACTGAGTGCTGAGTGTGGAGGCTGCCTGGGATTCTCTCCCTCTATCTGCCTCACCATGTTCACTCTGTCTCTCTCAAAATAAATAAATATTTAAAAATTCATTTTTTTTAATTAAAAAATTTTTTTAAAATTTCAGAGTCAGAGAGAATGCAAGTTGGGAGAGTTAGGCAGAAGGAGAGAGAAACCCAAGCAGGCTCCATGGAGCCCCACACACGGGACTCAATTCCTTGACCCTGGGACTGAAATCAAGAGTCAGATGCTCAACTGACTGAGCCATCTAGGTGCCTCTAAAAATTCTTTATCATTATATATATTTAAAAAAAATTTTTTAAAGATATTTTATTTATTTTTGAGAGAAAGATACAGACAGTGTGATCAGGGGAGGGTCAGAGAGAGAGGGAGACACAGAATCTGAAACAGCCTCCAGGCTCTGAGCTAGCTGTCAGCACAGAGCCTGACATGGGGCTCAAACCCACAAATCATGAGATCATGACCTGAGCCGAAGTCGGATGCTTAACCGATTGAGCTACCCAGGCGCCCCATCATTATATTTTTTAATGGGTACATATTTTTCCCTTGTATGTTCCACTATAATTTGTATAATCAACACCCTTTGATATGTTTGGTGAATAAATTTTTCACTATTTCATTTTATTTATTTATTTTAAAGTTTATTCATTTTGAGAGAGAGAGAAAAAGTGGGGGAGGGTCAGAGAAAGAAAGAGAGAGAGAATCCTAAGCAGGTTCCACACTGCCAGCACAGAACCTGATGCAGGGCTCAAACTCATGAACCAAGAGGTAATGACCTGAGCCAAAATCAAGAGCTGGACACTTAACTGACTGCGTCACCCAGGCACCCCTTCACTGTTTTAAATAATTCTGTAATGACTTATCATTCTCCACAATTTTCCGCTGGAGTACTGATTATTTCCTTATAGTAGATACCTAAAAATGAATTATTACACCAAAAATGTTTAACACCCTTTGATATGAGTCAGAATGTTCTTGAGAAAACCTGTCAATTATATCCATATTTTTCTTTATGGCATGCAATTTTGTCTCATCACAAGTATTGTCTTCTATTCAGAAGGGGAGATGGATGAGTCCCTGAATGTGTAAGAAAAGAAGCAATGGAAACTAGACATTGTAGGGCAGGGGATATTTAGTGAAAATAAAGTTGAGCAAAACTAGTCCAAGGCCAATGTGGGGAAAATGTAGGAAAAGACAGAGTACAGATAAGAAGGTCAGTGTAAATGGGGAAGACCACAACCTTCTGAAAAGGAAGAGGGGGGAATAAGTGACTAGAAAAAGGCAGATCAGTATGTGGAAAGTATCCTTTTGAGGTCTTAGCTTTCTCCATACATCAGAAAACTTCAGAGAGAACTTTGGGAATATTTAAAAAGGGACTCCTCTTTCATGTATTAGCCTGGGCTTATAATTTGCCATTATATCTAACTGATTCCTTTGGAGTTTATTTTCCATTATATAATGATCTTCACCTTGTTCTGAGAGATCACAACTGGGAGACAAGATACTGAGTAACTATACAGAAAGCAAATTCAGTCCCAAGGGATGATTTTGTAAGGGATATGGTTTTTAAGATGATTCAGTAAAGCTACATTCTCCAGTTCTTTTTTTTTTTAATTTTTAAGAAAGTTTTATTTATTTCTGAGAGAGAGAGAGAGAGAGACAGCATGAGCAGGGGAGGGTCAGAGAAAGAGGGAGATACATAGTCTGAAGACAGGCTCCAGGCTCTGAGCTGGCTGTCAGCACAGAGCTTGACGCGGGGCTCGAACCCATGAACCGTGAGATCATGACCTGAGCCGAAGCCAAGGGTCGGATGCTTAACCAACTGAGGCACCCAGTTGCCCCTATGGTTCTCCAATTCTTAACAAGCCAAATTCTTTGGCTGCTTAGAATACTCAGAAACATTCTTTGAGGCAAAAAGAAACTAGGAAACTTTAATTTCTAAACCACACCCCCTGGGGCGCCATCACTATTTAAAATTGAAGAAACAAAGATTCCCGTAAGCATGTGTCTAGGCTCGTGTTCTTACCTTCAAAGACCAACTGTGGTTCTCCAGCATCACAGCTCAGTGCAGCTTTCTCTGAGCAGAGTCCAGGCAGCCCTGCTGTTCTTCAGGGAAGCCCCAAGAGACATCCTTGAATGTCACTAGTTCCTAAAACATTAAGCAAATTCCTCCTTGACCAGCAGCCATTGGCACAATGCCCTGGAAGGAAGGAGAGATGAGATTGGGCTCAAGAAGCCTGCAAGTCCCTGTGTGATGGTGGGACACGGAAGTGGTAGAAGTGGAGGTTGCTGCCTCAGGGTGCCATACATATACCCATTAGGACAAGGGCCAGGGGAACATCAAGCATTAGGATTAGCCACTCCTTTCAACCAGACTTTCTTCTCAACCTCAGAGAACAAGGTTTCTTTCTGTTGGAGGCTAACCTCTCCCCATGCATTCTAGGTCCAATCTTTTTCTTCCTTCTGAAATTCAAGTTCATGAATTATCTTTTTTCCCTTTCATTTTTTAACTATCTTCCACTCAGTCATCTGGATGGTCTAAGACTCCCTCCTTACCTCAATAATATTCAAGCCACTTCAGATCTTGTCAACTCTTCTCTCCTCAATCTCCCTTCTTTATTTCACTGCTTACTGTCATAGATAAGGCCCCCATTTCTTACCTAGACCACAATAACTCCTTACCAAATCTTTAAAATACCAGTTTTGTCATCTTTCATCCATAGACTGAAAGACAGAGTTATTAATTTTTTATTTAAGATCCCACAGATAAAGTGGTGAGGAGAATTCCATGCCAAGAATGAAAAGGATATACTGATGGACTAATTCTGCAGTAGATTCAAGATTCCAGGATAAGAAATGGTAGGACAGTGGCCCAAATGAAAGGAATCAGTGTGACAAAGGGAAAGAAAATAGTGGGTCTGCTAAAGACAAAGCTGGGAATGAAGGACCCTGATATCAATGGAGCTAATGAGTTACACCCAAGGTGGACTCAGTATCCTGGAGGCCAACCAAAGGGGAAGGTCATGGGACTAGCAGTTTCCTGTTCCCACCTGACAAATGTCAAACTCCTTAAAACTATTTATATCATATAACCTTCCACTTCCTTTCCAGAGCCCATCCTTGCTGGATCCAACAATTTACTCAGAGGCAGGAAAACAGTAATGCAGAAGTCAGGAGCTAGACAAAAGCTGTCGTCAGACTAGATTACCTGCAATTAACCAAATGTCATGCTGTAGTAGAATAACCCTTTACATGCTGCTTCTGCCCTGACTTTTATTTCTCCCACCCATTTTGTAATTCCGTCCAGTTTCAGGACAATCAACAACTGCTTTTATGAACCATGAGGATAAGTTAAATGCCTCTTCCTTCAAGATCTCATAGTATTTTTCACATATCTTTACCATAGCTCTAAAATCTGTCTTCCAAATTGGACTACATGATTCTAAAGGATAGGGGCCATGTTCAACTAATCTTTAATTCCCCAGCAACTAGCACAATTGACTGGGAATCTAAATGATATTTACAAATTCACATTCAACTTAAATGAATGATGAAAAGATACAAGTAAAAGTGAACTTTGAGATCAAAGTAAACACTCTAATTTTACAGATGAGAAAACCAAGGCTCAGGATAGTGAAGTGACTTACTCAAGGTCACAGAGGGAGGAGTTAAATTGGGACTCCTGCCTTTCAGACTCAAGGACAATGTCTGGTACATAAAAGTATGGGTGGAATAAAGTCCTTTTTTAAATTCAAAAGAATCTCAAATTTCACTATATTAGCAATACCCAATTACATGATAAATAATCTTCATCAGGGACTAGGTAGAGGAAAAGGAAGGAAAATATACAGAGCACAGGGTCTCATTCATATTAATTTCCCTTGAAGTCCTCAATTTCTTTTCAAGGCACAGAGATGGCATGCTCTTAGGACTTTGAGGCTGCTTACTGCCCTCTAAACTGATTTTTATAAGAGCTCATGGTCTCTTCCTATGTATATAAGAACTGTATTTGCCAAGCAAAAAGATGGTCTTTTTGGTGGTAGTGTGAAGAACCAACTACTTCTTCCTTAAAATCCAGCCTGATATTTTATTCAAGTAACTTCTGGTGTAATTGACCCGTTTAGTTATGGAGAAGGAAGAACATAGAGTCAGAAGACACGGGATTTCCTTCTGACTCTGCTGCTCTCTGCAACAAAGGACGTGGTGCTTCCCTTCAGCCCCCAGATTTAGAGCTCTCTGTAAAATGCCAGCAACCGAGGCAGAGAGGAGGCTGGTGGGCCCCTTCCATTTCAAATGTTCTATGATTCTAAGTGTCAGTCTTGAGGTAACTTTCAAGGAATGGTTTTATGGAGACAAACAAGCAATCAGTTTTTACAAAAGTACTACTCAGTAATTTAACAATTTATTGTACCAATTAAATATGTAGATATGTTGGTAAAGGGAACAAAGCAACCTGAGTATAAAAGATAAAGAACCCATCTTACCTATCTTAATGATGCTCATGTTAAGTTTATAGAGATATATCTCACAACAAATCCAACAAATCTTAGGTTGTACAGAAGCTAATGAGATTTAAAAAAAAAGTGAAATTCTCCTTTTCGTAGGTTTAGGGGAAGGGTAGTGGCTATGAATCTGAATTCTTAAAAAACACCACAGGTAACTGATGAACAGCTTGATTAAGAAGTATTACTGGGAGTGTTTTGGTAACTACTGTGCTGGTATTTAACAAACTTTTTAATGTTTAATCAATAGTTATTATTAAGTGTGTATTTTGTCACACACAGAATCTGCTCATGCAGAAAAGCACCACAATTTATAATTCTGTTTTCCTGAGACCACTTAGCATTGGCTGGAACAGGTGATAACTCTGAATAACTTTCAATGTGAGTGAAATGCCTTGGCAGGAAATGGGAGGCTTTGAGAGAAAACCGGGCAAAGATGTTATGTGGAGTCTTTCAATGGAAGAGCACAGCACATTGGTCTGGGGAGTGGGCCAAGTTCATGGAGCCAGGGTGGTTCAGTGTAAACTGATGTGGAATTTAAAGCAAGCAGCCACCTGTGCAGACTCTGGAGACATCATCTGACAGCTACATGACCTTGGTATATTAATGTTCTTACACCCATATTTACACAATACTTTAGGTCTCGCAGCAACCTCTGACAATAAAAAGATCCTACAGAACAAAGACAGGACCTGACACCACATAAGCACTCAATTAATGCTGATGTTCTTTCTTTGTTCCAAGCTAGAAAGGTTCTGTCCATTCTCAAACAGATGGCGTTTTCACAGAGAAGAAACCCCAACTCACCTGGCACTTGGTCATTTCTTCCTCTCTGGAAGGACAGCGTCCTGGACAAGTGTCATCAGGGAAAGAGAAACAGCCATGAAAATCAAGTCCACCTTGCAGGATACAAACCAGCCGGTCGAACAAGACTGTAGAAAAAAAGTTACTGAGCTCCGGCTCCTAACCCCTTTCCGGTAGCCCTTCCCACGCCATCTCCTGAGCGGCCTTTCTAGTCTCTCCATGCTGCCCCTCCCTCACCTCTCTCCACAGGGTTTTGGATTGAACAAATTGTAAGTAGATTCCGCTGCCCCCAGCAACACTAGGATGTGACCCATTCCTCAGAGATTCTGATTTCTGCCCTAAAGTTCTAGAAAGAGCAGTAGGAGCTCTGAGCTTGGATGCTCTGCCTCAGAATGGATTTCGAATCCCCGAGGCGCTTTCCCCGACCTGCCTCATTTCTGGGGTGTGAGTGCTGTGGGGACAGAAACCCAAGTCCCTCAAAGGGGCCCCTCTCGGTCACCTAATGTCCACCCAAAACCCTGGAATAAGGCCAGTCACCGGCATAGAAATGGCCGGTACGGCCAACTTCGAAGCCTCCAGGCCAGTCAAAGCCAGAGCTAAGCTGGGCAAGAGAGATGGGCCCCTCGGAGCCGCAGTCGCTTCTGCGCTGGGGGCTGTTTAGTCTCAGGTGATTATGGTTGGGTTTGGCGGACACAGCGGCGGTCGCGACTCCCACACAAACACACGTGCGGTCCCGGGCCGCACCTCCTTCAGGTCGCGCGCCCTCTCACAGCCGCCCGGCCAGGCTTTCGGGTCTCAGGGGTCCTGCGCCACCACCGCGGCACTCCCACATCCCAACCACAGAACGCCTCCCTGCTCGCAGCGTCGCCTGTCCTGAGCGTCTCACCTCCCACGTGGAATCCGACACCTGCAAGCGCAGGATTTCCGAGACTGACCCGCGCCCGCGCCTAAGGGCCTCGAACTACAAGTCCCAGAAAGCTGCGGGCTGGCCATACCCACTTCCGGCGCACACTTCCGGCGCATGTCCGGGCCAGTTCCCGGCTGCTGGGGTCAGTGGGTAGGTGTTTCTTGAGGTTAGAGACTAGTTTGTTTAAGTGATCTTATTATTGTTTAAAATTTTTAAATGTTTACTTAGAGAGAGAGAGAGAAAGAGAGAGAGAGAGCATGAGTGGGGAAGGGACAGGGAGAGGGAGAGACAATCTGAAGTTGGCTCCAGGGTTGGAGCTGTCACTACAGAGCCTTCCGTAGGCTCCAACTCACAAACGGTGAGATCATAACCTGAGTTGGAGTCGAGGCCTAACCGACTCAGCCACCCGAGCACCCCTATCTTATTATTATTTTTCTTGATTATAAGTGTGTAAGAATTATTTTACGAATACCCATTAAAATGTATTTTTTTGAAGTGGTGTAGGTGAAGAAAGAACGTAAAAATATCACCGTAATTTTGTCTTCTCCCTTAAAAATATTCTGAAATATATGAATAGTGGCCTCACTATCTTGGCTCCAAAGCTCATTCGTTTGGCAAATATGAGGACCTTACAATGTTACAGGAACTAGCGAAGGTAGGTAGTGTGAACCCCATTTTACAGCTTTTACATTTTAAAAGTTTCAAGAAGCATACTCAGTGTCTCATAATAAGGGCAATGTTTGGATTTAAGTCCAGATTTAAAAAAATATTCCAAAGCACATGTTCTTCACACTTGATTCCCTTTATTATTACCCCGTGTTTCCAGATAATTTTCCCCTTGAAAACTTGGTTTTCTCATTTATGAAAGGGATCCAGTAACCACAGCCCTTTTCAAGGAAACCCCCAAGAAGGCAAAGGAGGTTAAAGTGTTTCAGAAACTTTCCAGGGTTCTGTATGGTTGAAGATAAGTATGACCGAAATATGGTGCACTGTACTTAGAAAAGCACAGGAGGTGTTTGTAGGGATGAGTTGAGGGGCCTCAGCCAGGGTTTTTAGGGGGACAAAGACATTCACCTTGTGTTCTGTGCAGTTTAGAATCCCTGCCCGAAGGATTTCCTCCTAGGGTGGTGCTGGGACCTTGGGATGTGTGCTGAATGGCATTCTGCTGACAGTGATTAGCCTGTCTACAAACATACACCATACTCATTCACACAAACTATATGCATACACACAATCTGTACCCCTTCACAGTGTGTTCCCATACAACCACATTCACACATGGCATGTGCTCACATTCTCACCCCATTATTATCTGTGACAGAACACATTATTATTTCCCAATTTGTTTCAGTTCATATATTTTTAAAACTTTTTATTTTGAAATAATTATGGACTCACAGGAAGTTGGAAAATGTACAGGGAGGTCTCTGTATCCTTAACCTAGTTTCTCCTAATGGCAGCATCTTACATAACTAAGTTTTGTAATTTTCAGGATATAGGTCCTGTATGTGTTTTGTTAAGTTTATACCTTAAGATTTACTTTTCTTGGAAAGATTGTAAGTGATACTGTGTTTTTAATTTCAGATTTCACATATTTATTGCTTAATATATAGATAATTGATTAATTTTTGTGTGCTGATCTTGTGTGAGACTGCTGAACTTAGTGGTTATCAGAGGTTTTCTTTTTTAAATGCTTTTTTGACATTTTTCACATAGAGGAATAATGTCATCTACAATTAGAGATCGTTTACCCTCTTTATTTCCAGTCTGTATTCCCTTTATGCTTTTTCTGACCTATTGCACGAGCTAGAATTTCCAGCACTATGATGAACAAGATGATGAGAACAACATCCTTGTTTGTTACCCGTCTTAGGGAGGAAACCATTTGAACTTTTAACATTAACTTTATCAATTTGAGGAAATTCCTTTCTGTTCATAGTTCGCTCAGCATTATCATGAGTAGTTGTTGGATTTTATGAAATGCTTTTTCTTATATCAATTGATATGATCTTAATATTTTTCTTCCTTAGTATTGATATGGTAGATTATACTAATGAGTTTTCAAATATTGAACCAATCTTGTCTATGTAAAATAAATTCCACTTGGCTGAAGTGTGTAATCCTTTTTTTATTTTGCTGGATTTGATTTGTAAATATTTTTGAGTATTTTTACATCTAAATTAATGAGATATTGGTCTGTAGTTTTAAAAAATATTTATTTTTGAGAGAGGGAATGCAAGTGGGGGAGGGGCATCAGGGGAGGGGACCCAGAGTCATCTCACAAACCATAAGATCATGACCGAGCCAAAGTTGGATGCTTAACTGATTGAGCCTAGGTGCCCCTTGGTTTTGTTTTTTTTTTTTTTTTTGATACTGTCTGGTTTTGGTTATCAGGATAATAATGGCCTCATAAAATGAGCTGGGAAATTTTTCCTCTTGTTTGATTTGTTGGAAGAGATTGCATAAAATCAAATGTTATGCATTAAAGAAGAACGTTAATTCTTTAATTGTTTGATACAGTTCTCCAGTGAAACAATGTAAGCCTGGAGATTTATTTTAAATTATAAGTTAAGTTTCTTTAATAGTCACATGACTATTCAGATTATCTATTTTATTTTAGTTTAGTTTAGTTTTTGCAGTTTGTGGTTTTCAGGGAACTCGTTCAATGCTTCCAAGTTGTTACATTTATGAAGGTAGACTTGTTAGTAGTATTCCTTCTTGAGCCCTGTTTAGGGGACTCACAATATGGTAAGGAGCCTTTTACCTAAATAGTGTGACTGAGGCTTATAGGAATGGTTGTATCTATTTTCCAAGGCAAATGATCTGCTGTGTGGATGTAGCTAATGGTATTTCTCTTTTCAGTCTTACTTTAGTCTTGCCCCACCCTATCCCAGTACCCTTTTACCTTCTCTCCTTAGCTGATTCCAGCCCAGACCCCAGAAAAGCACAGTTACGGTGTGGCCCCCTGAGGCCAATGAGGCCCAGCTAGGATGCTTTCCATGTTGCCAGGGCCAGGTGCTCTGGGAAGAAGCTTGAGAGGTATTCAGTTGGGGTCTGCATCTTCTGCTTATTGTGGTCTTGAGACCTGAAGGAGCACTGGCCAGGGAGCACATTAGTCTTTAGGCCTCAGCTGGAGAGCCCATGGGAGACACACAGAAAGAAAGGTGGAGTAGCAATAGCACTGCTAGGAATTTACCCAAGGGATACAGAAATGCTGAGGCATAGGAGCACATGTACCCCAATGTTCATAGCAGCACTCTCCACAATAGCTAAAACATGGAAAGAGCCTAAGTGTCCATCAACAGATGAATGGATCAAGAAGATGTGGTTTATCTATACCATGGAATACTACATGGCAATGAGAAAGAATGAAATCTGGCCATGTGTAGCAACATGGATGGACCTTGAGGGTGTTATGCTGAGCGAAATAAGTCAGGCAGAGAAGGACAAATATCATATGTTTGCACGTATAGGAGGATTAGGAGGAACTTGACGGAGGAACAAGGGGGAGAAGAAGGGCGGAAATGTGGGGGAAAGGGAGAGAGGCAAACCATGAGAGACTCTTGAATGCTGACAAAAACTGAGGACTGATGGATGTGGGGGGGAGGGGGAATGGGCATAGAGGAGGGCACTTGTGGGGATGAGCACTGGGTGTTATGTGGAAACTAATTTGACAATAAACTATTTGTAAAAAAAAAAAAAAAAAAAAGAAAGGTGGAGTGACTTCCATTTACTGATTTCCTCCTGGATGCTCTGCACTGGGCTCAGGGCCCAGTGTTCCTCCTTGCCTGTTAACAACCCTGTGGAGTAGGGGTTATTCCTCCCTTGTTTTATTTATTACTTAAGAAAAAAAATTTTTAAATATTTATTTACTTAGTTTTGACAGACACACAGTGTGAACAGGGGAGGGGCAGAGAGAGAGGGAGGCACAGAATCTGAAACAGGCTCCAGGCTCTGAGGTGTCAGCACAGAGCCCAATGCAGGGCTCAGACTCATGAGCCATGAGGCCATGACCTGAGCTGAAGTCTGATGCTCAACTGACTGAGCCGCCCAGGTGCCCCTCCTCACTTATTTTATATTGAAGGCACAGAGAATGAGAGAGAAAGGGACAGTGACTTGCCTAAGATCCTGCTGGTGGCAAATGGCAGAGCCAGGATTGAAACTCAACACCTTGGATATTGAATTGGGAGTGCTTTCACTGTAGCACATTTGTCTGTCACCTTGTCTTTTCAGGGGATTGCAAAAGGAATAGGCCAGAATAGAGATAAGGAAAGGAACGTCTGTTGGACCCCTTGGCCTCTGCCTCCCAGTTCAGCCTGCTGGGAGATCAACCCAACATAGAAATGGTGATAGATGCAGGTCCAGTCATAGTGGACTCCTAGGAAAGCTGAAGAAATCACTGTAGGAGCTAGAAAAGGGAGGTCAGGGCTCCTATGTAGATCTGAGCCCAGCCAGGTTGTCTCCTGGGTAGAGCAGGGGAACACAGAGCCGGCTCCTTCCAGATTCCTACAAGTTCTAAGAATATGTCCAGTTCTGTTTCCCAGACTGTCCCGGAATGTGCTCAAATGTTGTGAAACCATACAAATGAAGAGGGTGATAAGGAGGGTCTCATCCAGCCTTCTTCACTTTTTCGACTGGGAATTGAGGCCCAGAGAAAAGGAGAGAATTGGTCAAGTGCCCCCGGGCAAGCAGGGAGGGGGAGAGGAGGGAAGAGAGTCCTGCCTGGTACTAAAGGTATCTTGGTGCTGCCTTGCTAGGGACTCATGGGTAGACGCTCATCATTATAGTATACCTGCTACTAGATGCACATTGGTATCATTCTTGCACTTACTCATTCTAAAGCATTCAGTGAGTATATTCTGTGTACCCTGTCACATACAATGCTGTTTCTCTACAGGGCTCCACCAGCACTGGGGGTGAGGGTTATAGTGGTTTTCAGCAGTATGAATCCTCTCTCCTCCCCCATCAGCCTCTTCGTTCTGATTGTTGTTGCTGCACTTCCACCTTTCTTCAGACTCTACC